AACACCTCGCCACCCTCCTTTACCATACACAACGGTACGCGGCAGGGGTGCCCTCTGTCCCCTCTACTGTTCGCCCTCTCCCTTGAGCCCCTTCTCCAACAGATTAGGCTTAACCCGGCCATAAAGGGTATTCGGATACGCAAAGAAGAGTACAAGGTCGCGGCTTATGCCGATGATCTGTTATTGACCCTGACGGACCCGGAGGCATCCCTGCCCCCTCTGCTGGACCTCATGGCAGAGTACGCTGAGATTTCGGGATATAAACTGAATCTAGAAAAGACAGAGGCGCTGGGGATCCAGCTCCCGCAAGCTCTGGAGGGAACTTTGCGGGCCCGGTATCCGTTCCACTTCCGGCCGGATTGCATCAAGTATCTGGGGGTGTTTCTTCCCGCGGACCTGAACTTGACTTATCGACTGAATTACCACCCGCTAATAGACCAGACTAAGAAAGACCTGACGGACTGGCAAAAACTGTCCATTTCCTGGCTGGGTAGAATAGCCTCGGTTAAAATGACCCTTCTCCCTCGTTTTCTATATTTGTTCCAAACACTGCCAATTCCGATCTCGAGACCCGATTTTAAAGCTTTGCAAACACAGATAGATAGGTTTATTTGGGGGGGGAAGAGGATCCGGATCAAAAGAACCACTCTTTATATCCCACACAGGAGGGGGGGCCTAGGCTTACCGAATCTGTGGGATTACCACCAGGCTGCCCAGTTAGCGCAAGTCCTGATGCTTCACGCACCGGTGGGGATCAAGATCTGGGTCGATCTGGAACATGACCTCTTTGGGAGAGACCACCCATCGTTATATTTTTGGGTGCCGAAACCTCACCGATCGGAGTTACCCCACACCACGCCGGCCCTGCGGACGTCTTTGCAGGTGTGGGATAGAGTCAACGGTAAAAACTCCCTTATCAATACGCCCTCACCGCTCACCCCAGTTCTGCGGAACCCGCAATTTCCCCCAGGTATGACACCTCAACATTTTGCCCGCTTCGAAGATAATAACCTCATCAGACTTTGCCATTTCTTCCAGGGTGATCGCCTGCTCCTATTTGCAGACCTACCGCAATCTACCCCTCTCAACTCTTTTGATTATTTCCGCTATCTCCAGTTACGGAGCTTTTTGTCCATTCCGGACATCAGAATGGCAGCCACAAAACAGCTTACACCTTTCGAGAAAATGAGTATGCACACACCGGTAAGGAGAGGTCAGATATCCATTCTTTATGATATCTTTGCTAGAAACACCCCTCCGGAGGCCTTTTCATACGTGAGGGAGTGGGAGAGGGACATGGGCCCACCGGCCGATCCATCAGACTGGGCAGAAATTTGGGAGGCAACGGCATCAGTTACGATCTGTGTGAACCACAAGGAGCAGGCGTATAAGACCCTGCTCAGATGGTACGTTACCCCCCTCAAGCTCAAACAGATGCGACAATCGACCTCCGACCGGTGCTGGAAAGGTTGTGGGGCCCAGGGTACGTACTTCCACATGTGGTGGGAATGCGAGCATATTTCAGCACTGTGGAAGAGGGTAGCTGACGTCGCCTCCAGAGCCTTACAAACGGCTCTCCCACTGGATCCGTGGATATGGTTGCTGTCCAAACCCCTAGATGCACTACATAGGGCACAGAATAAACTAGTGGCAAAAATAGCCCTCGCTACACGACGGGCCATTGCAGCACACTGGGGGAGGATGGAAATCCCAACTCTATCAGAGGTACGACGGAAAATAGAGGAGTCCAAGGAGATGGATGAGCTATCTGCCCTGGTCCATGAGACGACAGCATCGGTAGGGAGGGTCTGGAGCCCCTGGGGCAATGTGTAGCGCAGGCGAGGGAGGGGAGAGAGGACGGAGGAGGGTTCCTTCTCGACGCAAGAATTTTTGAGCACGGCCCCACATAATAGACACGCCTCCTACACACACGCTGATAGATTACACGCACTTAGTACAGGGGAGATGTTACACTGATATGTAGAATCCCACGTACCCCCCGTTTTTTTTTTTTTTTGTTTGTTTTTTTTTTGTTCTGGCTATGTCTAGGCGAGGATAGGCCTTATATCCCATGTTAGCTCCAGTTGAGCTTTACCCTTAATGTTCAGATACGATAAGTCTCCGATGACCTCAATCTCCAGTAACGACACTGACTTAGGCCATAGGCCGTATAAGCCCAGAGACGCAGCTCAAAACTGTCACCGCACCTACTCCCTCTAGAGGTGACGAGACAGTCGCCTCCCTCGACGGTCCATTCAAGAGCAGAGAGACTACAGCTTAGGGGGATAAAGATAGCCTGGGAATGAGGTCCACGGGATGATGCTATTCTTTTCATAATGTTGTACCCCCTTCCCATATTTTCTTCTTTCTGTACCCCATACACAATGCTAAAATTCTCAAAATAAAGAATTTATAAAAAAAAAAAATGGAACGAGAAATCGCCTCTAATTTGTGAATTAATCGAGAGAAATACTGTATTTGGGACAACTGGTTAAAGATCTTAGGAGCGACGTGATAAAGGGCAGTTGAAACACTGAGATGAACTGAGTTGAGTATATAATATTCTCCTTTCCTTCATATGACCATGCCCTCCCACACTGCATTTAGGTGATTCAAGTAATGGGGTTATCTTCACACGTTATGTCCATATATGTAAGTGTACATTGTATATGTAAGCTTGATATAATATATGATAATGAATAATGTATGTATTTATATTTTGAAAACCAATAAAAATGTATATATATAAAAAACAAAACAGTAGAGAGATGTGTTTTTAATCTTTACACGTCATGTTTTGTCTCTAAACGGCTGGCCTAAGAAAATAAATACATCTTAAAAATATGAATACATCTCTTTTTTTCATATTTTTGTATGTAAAGGGCGGGCCAAAACTTAGAGTAGAGATTAAGCAGTCAATAACCTTTTTATTAATTAACCAATTTCAATTATATAGCATACAATTAACAATTAAAATCCTTGTGTGGAATCCAATGGACTCCATTTGCCAGTTTGCAAAGTCGGGCTCTTTTGATTGCATTGTTCAAAACATTATTTAAAGGGACACTATAGTCACCTGAACAACTTCAGCTTAATGAGGTTTTTCAGGTGAGAACTATAGCTCCCTGCAGCCTTTCTCATGTAAATACTGTATTTTCTGAGAAACTACAGTGTTTACATTGAAAGCTAGGAACACCTCCAGTTGCAGTCACTCCCAGTGAACCAGAGGGACTTTGGAGTTGATGGCGGCATAATATGCCTCCATCCACTCAGATCTGCTGTCAGCAGAGCACAGGGCAGCACTGTGCACAGCATCCTGTGATTCAGTATCTCCTCCCTCTGCATGCAGACACTGAACTTTCCTCATAGTCACCTGAACAACTTCAGCTTAATGACTATGATTCAATTCATCTCTATGAGGAGATGCTGATTGGCCAGGACTGTGTTTGAATCATGCTGGCTCTGCCCCTGATCTGCCTATTTGCCAGTCTCAGCCAATCCTATGGAGAAGCACTGTGATTGGATCAGGCTACAACTTCTGATGATGTCAGCAGACTGTTTTTTTTCTGAGTCTAACAGCATGCAGAGTTACAGCTTCAGGCTTGAATACAGGAAGATTTAAACTATATTTATGGAGGCATGAGGGGCCCAGGGGGGCTAGATGGTTGTGTTAACACTATAGGGTCAGGAATACATGTAGTTGCACTGGTGACTATAGTGTCCCTTTAATATTTCGGGCTCCAACGCTCAAATTTCTGCACGGATATTCTCCTTAAGCTGCTTAAGTGTCCAGGGTTTGTTCACGTAGACCTCTGAAAGTGTCAGCCAATTAATCTGTGAATTTCTTGAACTTATCCACTTGCTAAACAGTTGTCTCAGTTTTGAAAGTAAAATTCCATTACTTTTCCGCATTGCTCCTTTGTGAAATTACCCATGATGCATCTCCAAATTCTCCGTTATAATATGCACTTGCAACAATTTTTTTTTTAACTACTAACAAGTTATTTACCTGTCAAAACCTACTCTGAATTGTATAATTTATGTTTTCAGTATGAAAAAAAGTAATGTATTTTCTGTTAATACATGTTTCAAAATTGTTTAATTGTATTAAAAATAGAATATAATAAAGTACTGGAGGATAACATAGAATGGTAGAACAGGACAGGAAGAATACTTAGGTGAGTGATACAGCTAGTGTTATACTTATATAGGAATAGAGAGATCTTGTTTGTCACCTCTGTAGAGCTCAATCAAAGCCGTTGCTCGATGGTCTTTGAGATATAATAAATATAGCATAAAGAAAAACTCCTCCAGTTTGCTTAATATATAAAAACATTCAAGCAGTTAGACGACCATTCCATAGACAAATATATACTCTCTCCAATATTTAGGGTAATACTGAGTGCATGTTCTTTAGAACAGCTTAATTCATTAATATTATATAAATTTTACATTATATAGGAATAGAGAGATCCTGTGAGATATGTGTTTTTCCATTAACAAGCAGCAATCATTAACTTATAATATAACAACACACTGAGACAAAACTATAATTCAATGTATCATATGTTTGTATCCAATCCAATAAAACAAGGTTTCATTATGACCTGCGTTTCATAAGAGTACGTCAGTATTTAGAATTCACAGTGTGGACTTAGTTGTGCAATATTAAACTTGTGTCAAGTGGATAAAGAGAGCAGGACAGTTCATTTTCCCAGAGTGTTTGTCAGTTGTGCAAGCATTGCATGGAAGCAGAATCTTGTATTTACAGTGCCCTCCACTAATATCGGCACCCTTGGTAAATATGAGCACAGAAGGATGTGAAAATTGTCTTTATTGTTTAACTTTCTGGTCTTTTGTTCAAGAAATACACAAAAAAACACTCTGCTCTCATAGATATCAAACAATTGCAAACACAACACAAGTTTATCCCAAAACAAAACCTTTTCTACATGGAAGAGGACGTGTCTTTATTGTCTCAACACACTGTGAAGAGGATTGTTCAAGTGACCTAAAAATCTCCAGCGCTCACCGCTCCAAAAAGTCTCTAACAATCACAGAAGTTAGTTGTGTCTTGGGGTCAGAAAGTCTCCTAACCTTGTCTTGTGACCTTATCTTCTTTGGGCTTATAAGAAATCATGGCTAGTAACCGCAGTTCCAGAAAACCCTACCCTTCTTCCCCAGCACAGACTTTCAGCGTTATTCACTCAACGGAATATTGTCAGGAATTCAAAGTGAATGTCACATTTAAGTCCAAAGTTGACTTGAATATTTCTTGCTTAGCTACTTTGGCCTTTAATGTAAAATTCAATTAAAATTCACTTTGAGTGTCTGGCAATTCTTAGTTTAGTCAATAATGCTGTTCCCGTGGCTGTCTAAACACAGGTTTCCCAATGAAGCTCAATGAGCAGTCTTTGTAAGAAAGGTTCTCTGAGCAATTGTGCTGCCTCTTGAGTTTAGCTGCACTGAGCTGACGAAGCCAGGAAGTTACAGGATTGACAATCGGGAGGGTATAACAAGCCACATTTATGAAAGTGAAGATTTTGAAGCTGTAAGGTTCAAAATAGTGGTTTGGGCATGTCGTGTATGTTTTTAAATTACAGTGTGAACTCTGGGGTAATAACAGTGTCCATCAGAACATAATTTAAGAACCTCTGGAGCATAATAGTGGTAAGCGGCCACATACATAAATACATACTTACAAAAATATACATACATATTAAAAACCAAATAAAAAGTTACCTGCGCTCTCTCCTTAATCCCTATGTATATTTAAACAAATGGAGGTTATTTAGTTACTCCAATGGCCATTGGAGGGAATGCCCACCTGCCACGTCAAGGCAAACCCCCTCAGCTGGGTCCTACACTGACCTTTCACCTTGCTTCCTTGGGCTTCTGTTAAAGATATCTCTAATGAGATAGAGAGGGGTATTTTTTTTTATACACCCCTATACACTTGTTAACCCTTAATAGGGAACACATGGGATGGGCGGCAGCATTGTAACATAGCTGTGTGATACAAAAGGTGAATACAAATACAAAAAGATAAGTCCTGCACTCACTCCCATCACTACTGGGCCGGCAGCAATGACCATAGTACACATCAGCTCCAATACATACAGTAAAAATCAAAGAAAAAAGTTACCTGCGCTCTCTCCTAAATCCCTATGCATATTTAAACAAATGGAGGTTATTTAGTTACTAAAATGGCCACTGGAGGGAATTCCCGCCTGCCAACATCAATGCAGACCCCTCAGATGGTAACTAAATAACCTCCATTTGTTTAAATATAGGACTTTTTTTTTTGTATTTGTATTCACTTTTTGTATCACACAGCTATGTTATAATGTTGCCGCCCATCCTATGTGTTCCCTATTAAGGGTTAATAAGTATATAGGGGTGTATATAAAAAATACCCATCTCCGTCTCATTAGAGATATCTTTGCAGGATAGCTGATAACAACAAAAAACACAACAAAATAAAGTCATATTGCACATAATCCATTTGCGTGCAACATGTTTCCAAAAGGATCTAAATAATCCCCGGTTCACAGCCAGCAAAGCTTGGCACCATCACAAAAGTGTGTAAGGGACAATCTCACCAGTCAAGGTGCATGTGGGAAAACCAGCAGAGTTCTTTTCAATGCATGGTCGGCAGTAAAATATTGGTTGCCCTGAGATTAATGGATTCCATTGTTTAGAGCTTGGTGCAGTACGAAAGCCGGATTCTCAGCTCCACAGGCTGCACATTAGGGCTTGGTATTCTTCAAAGGCCCTAGGGAGATACAAGGCTTTACAATATAAAGCTATACAGAGTAATGTGATCAAACTATATCAAAGGATTCGTTTGTGGAGCATTCCTCTTTGGCCCCTCATGGCTTTGAATGACACAAATGGATTATGTACTATATTTTTTCTTGCTGTAATTTAAGCTTCATGGACTGAGTGATCTGAATGATCAACTCCAATATTGAGCCAGAAAAAAATAAAATATATAATCACTGCGTTCAAACTCCCATGACTCTTGGGCAACAGCAATGGCTATAGTATCCATTATACCCCTTAAAAATAGAACAAAATTACCTGCACACTATCCCAAATCTCTATAAACATGTAAATAACTGTTTTAGTATCACTCCAATGGTCATTAAAGTGTAAGCTCACCTGCCATGTGAAGGCACGCCTCTTAGATGAGTCCTACACTGACAATTCACCGTGCTGTTTTCAACTAAAAGGATAAATCTCTAATGAGAATGTCTGTCTCTTATGGGTCTGATGGTTATTAGGGGGTCTAATGATAGGCTGAACGCGTCAGCTGACTCTTCGTAATGGAAACATCAGACTGGAATGTAAGAGATGGGGCAGATCTGACAGGTACAGGACTGAAGACTTTGGGTGTAAGCCCTTTGAGGTAAGCCGTCACCCAGGAATTCTTGCATCATAATAACGTCATTCCAATGAGGTTGTTATGCTGCCACAAGAGTTCCTTTAAATAAAACTTACACGTGAAAAATTTAGGGAAATTATTATATATCCCATATGAAATATCCTAGGTTCTTCAGTTTTGAAAAATGTATATTTTATTAGGGTTTTTATTTTAATTAGGAGACTGTTAAACCGCCCCTTATAAGGCAAACACCAGTAAAGCTCCTTCCAAGTTAACTTCGAAAGGCAGAGCAACACTATATGGACAAAAGTATTGTATTCAGGTGTTTCAATCAGACCCATTACTACAGGTGTATAAAACCTAGCCATGCAGACTGCATTTATAAACATTTGTGAAAAAAATGGGTCGTTCCAAAGAGTTCTGTGAATTCAAGCTTGGCACTGTAATAGGATGCAAGCTTTGCAACAGTCAATTTGTGAAATTTCATCCTTGCTAGATCTCCCATGGTCAACTGTTAGTCGTATTATTGGAAAGTGGAAGAGTTTAGCAACAGCTCGAAGCCATGAAGCTGAACACCACGTAAAGTCCACGAAAGGGGTTACCGAGTGCTCACCTCAACCCCATCGAACACCTCTGGGATGAACTAGAATGGAGCTTGTGAGCCAGGCCTTCTCGTCCTACATCAGTGCCTGACCTCACAAATGCTCTACTGACAAAAGCTTAGAGAAAATCAGTAGCTTGCCCTTTGCTAAATCTCTGTTCAGGTCTCAAAAGTTTTTTGCACACTTAGAGAGACAACCTATTTCAAGGCATATCAGCCTTATCCCACGCACAAGGGCAGCCCAAAACCGAAATGCCGAGACGTTCTCTCTGCACAAGAGATACAGCAACCACGGACAATCGTTTGGGCCTCATCAGCGAGGTGTCACTGATACTCCTCTATGCACAATGAGCATGGGGCCCACGTCTGGATTACCCTTTTAACATAGGGAGAGCACAAATTAATGAATTGCAACAAAAATAGATAGTATGATAGATATGATATATACAGAGATTAATTTGCTCAGAGAGACACAGAAAGTCTCATGCACAAAGAGAAACAGACACTCATGCACAGTTAAACGCATACATACACACACATGATGAAAGGGTTTTTTTTTGGATGTAGGGTGGACGGGACCTTTTCTGTATTACCTGGAATCCAGCACTGGGCAAAGATCCCACAAATCACTGTAGTGGTCATTGTGGTAGAGTAACCCTTCAAATGCACTGATGCTCATACAGGAAAATTTGTGAACAAAATAACACTCACAGACACACTTATACACATACATAGCTAAAAACACACACACATGTAAAATACAGAAGCACACTTGCAAATGCACACACAAACATTTCAGTAACATGAAATAAGAGCCATTTATAGGAACATAATTTATAGAGAATAAAAAACGGTATTTAGAAATACTTTAATTTGCTTTAACAAATTGCCTAATTCATGATGAGATGACATATATAGTCTATTTTTGTGATTTTGAATACAATAATTTAAAGAGGCTTTGTTTCCAAATTTCCTGCCTGCTCTCAGCATCTAGCCCCCCATGACCACATCCACACAAAGTTTAGTGGTGCCAGGATATATATATTTGTTGAATCTAGAGGATAAGAAACATAATTAAAGATCCTTGTAAGGAACAATTCACAGTTAAAAACACGGCTAGACGGAAATGAAAATCAATCTAAACTTGTTTTAGTAATAATGTTTGTTGAACCATGAAGAGGGTTGTCCAACCTGGCCCACTGAGCTGTCCTTAAACTTCATGCCCCATAATTCTATCCCAGACCAATAAGAACTGAACTGTACAAAGCAACGAATCAAGAAAATATTAAAATGATTGCAATACTGTGAAGTTCTGTTCTGAATGCCTTACAATAGAGCACTGTATTTACCAAATAAGCAGGCGATTCAAGATACAACATTTCAATTACTACCCTGACAACCAACTACCCTGCATTTTTTGAGTGTGTTTAAACCCTAAGTGCCCAAGGCTTGTGCAAAGCAGTGTCTTATTATTTGGCGATTAAATTGTGTCTTATCTCTTTCTTTAAGTTGTCTGCCAGAGCACAACTTAAATTGTGAATTGCGCTATTCACCGTGTAGACAATGTGCTCATTGTACACTTAATATTAAACTCATAGTAAAAATGATATGTATTAATTTAACTCCACTTTGTAGAGCTCCTTTAAAGGCACCAGCAAGTCTACATATGTTGCGGAATGCTTAACATTTCTTGCAAAACCTTCAGAATCTTTCAGACTCCACCCTTCCTTTAAACAGGGCAGACAAAACATCAGAGTGTATTTCAAACACATAATTCATATACAACAGTTACATAATGGCATAAGCTGACATTAAATTCAAGTGAATTAACCTCTTCATGACTGAGCCTTTTCCCAAATTCTGTGAGTTCATGGATGAGGCCCTTTTTGCACTTTTGCTATGCGTTTTTGTTCCACCGTAATTTAATGATTTCTCTACAAGTACCCCTATACATATTATATACCATTATTTAAAGACCAGAAGGGTTTTACCCTGATACCCTACAATATGTGTGCATAGCACATTATATGTAAATAAATCATTATTCATAGTTTTACTACTAATAATAATTTATATACAAGAGCAACTAAAAAAACGTAAATCAAAATAGATTTAGTTATTAGTCCTCATGGTTAAAGTGACACATTTCTCCTGCATTTTAATAGTTTTTTGTAAGATTTAAGACAAATATTGCAAGGCATGAATTGTGGTTTTAATGCTAAACATTTGCAAAATTTGGCGTGCATAGAATATAACTTTAAAGGAACACTATAGTCACCTAAATTACTTTGGCTAAATAAGGCAGTTTTAGTGTATAGATCATTCCCCTGCAATTTCACTGCTCAATTCACTGTCATTTAGGAGTTAAATCACTTTGTTTCTCTTTATGCAGCCCTAGCCACACCTCCCCTGGCTATGATTGACAGAGCCTGCATGAAAAAAAACTGGTTTCACTTTCAAACAGATGTAATTTACCTTAAATAATTGTATCTCAATCTCTAAATTGAACTTTAATCACATACAGGAGGCTCTTGCAGGGTCTAGCAAGCTATTAACATAGCAGGGGATAAGAAAATCTTAATTAAACAGAACTTGAAATAAAGAAATCCTAAATAGGGCTCTCTTTACAGGAAGTGTTTATGGAAGGCTGTGCAAGTCACATGCAGGGAGGTGTGACTAGGGTTCATAAACAAAGGGATTTAACTCCTAAATGGCAGAGGATTGAGCAGTGAGGCTGCAGGGGCATGTGCTATACACCAAAACTGCTCCATTAAGCTAAAGTTGTTCAGGTGACTATAGTGTCCCTTTCATAGCAGTCACATAATCTGAGACCACTATACAAGTTGCCACTTGCAACTTTATTTTAAGCTGTCTAATTGTGGGCAGGTAGTGATAGTTAAAATACTGATTAGCTCAATATACAGCTGTAGAGTTCATTTAACCCTCTCAGCCCTGGGTCTCTTACCTTTTACCTCTCTTATTGAGATTATATGGCATGCCAGAATAGACCTGTATAGTAAAGTCTGTTACAATTTCATAGCGAGCCATGTTCAGTACTATTTTAGATTAACAGGTTATGTTTAAGGAGTAGCCTTACAAGGCTTGTATTGTCACATTTTGTGAATTATGTGCTCATTATTAGTCACTTTTCTTCTACCCCCCCCGTCATCCGAGTCCATTCTCTCTATGTCTCCCTAATCTTATATACCTCTAACCTTTTGTCACTCTGTCCCTTTGTCACATACCCTTTTCCCCAGTCCTATTGCCTAATCCCCTGTACCCAGAGGCGTAACTAGAATCCACTGGGCCCCAGTGTGAAAATTGCCATGGGGCCCACCTCCCATGTGTCTCATTCCCCCACACCCCCTCAGTGTCTCATTACCGCGCCCAGGCCCCCCACATGAGCCTCATTCCCTCTGCCCCACAGTCCCTCCATTTGTCCCATAGGCTCCTCCTCCTCCACCCCTTTCATGTGTCCCATTCCCTCTCCCCTTAGCCCCTCCATGTTTCTAATTCCCTCCTCCCTCACAGCCCCTCCATGTGTCCCATTTCTCCTTCTGTGTCCCATACCCTCCCTCTCTCCCCTTCATATGTGCCATTCTGCCCTCTCTCCCCCTCCCTTCCATGTGTCCCATACACTCCCTCTCTCACCTCCCATACCCTCTCCCTCCTCCCTTACTTGTGTCCCATACACTCCCTCTCTCCCCCTCCCCTCCATGTGTCCCATTGCTCCTGAAGGGGGGAGAGAGGGAGAAATGGTACACATGGAGGGGAGTGGGGGAAGGAACAATGGGACACATGGAGGAGAGAGAGGGAGGGTATGGAACACAGGGAGGGGAGGGGGAGAAATGGAGGGCATGGGGCACCTGGAGGGAAGGGGGAGAGAGGGATATATCCCTAACCTTTCATTATTCTGTCCCCTTGTCACTCAGTCCCCCTGTTCCATAGTCTTCTGTCATGGTCAGTCTGTATATTCCCCTGTCCTCCTAATCCCATATTTGTCACTGTCCCTCTCTTTGTCACTGTCACTTGGTCTTCCTAATTCCCTCTAGCTCTGTCAATGTCACGCTATCCACAATTCCTCTGTCCATCTAGTTTTGTTGTGTCACTACTCCCCTTTTTTCAGGGCATTAGGTGGTGAACATAGTGAAACAGGGCTAGAGCAAAAGACACAATTTAATAATTCGATCACACAAAATATTGAAATCCTTTAATGGAAATTATTTACTTGTATTATGGGAACCACATACTGAATAGTGCAAACTATTTACTTATATTGTACATATCTGCATAGCAAAGCAGCTTGCAGTATATCAGCCCATATCTACATCTGAGTGGCTGAACACGGAAATGGACTGATTAATAATTGTATTTTGCTACAATGGAGCCCTGGATGGTACTTTCATGCTGGAAGCTGTTTTGGCCTGCAGCCCCAGTATTTTTTTTTTTTTAATCTTGTACAGAACCAGTATGTTGTGGGAAGGATTTACTGAATTGCTCCCTCAATATACGTTGTTTGCACAATTAAGTAGAGTTATATTATTATCAGTTTCGTAGTGCTAACATATTCTGTAGCGTTTTACAATTCTGGAAGGGGTATATCTGAAATCAAGTAACTGACATACAAGATATTAACAGACATAAAAAGTAAGGAAGGTCCCGCTCAAAACTGCTTACAATTAAATTATGCATTTTATTAAATTGTCCACAGAAGATATGTACATTGAGGGAAAGATGTACTAAGTAGTGAGAACGGTTTAACCCCTTAAGGACACATGACATGTGTGACATGTCATGATTCCCTTTTATTCCAGAAGTTTGGTCCTTAAGGGGTTAAAGGACCACTATAGTCACCCAGACCACTTCAGCTCAATTAAGTGGTCTGGGTGCCAGGTCCCTCAGGTTTTAACCCTTCAGATGCAAACATAGCAGTTTCAGAGAAACTGCTATGTTTACATTTGGGGTTAATCCAGCCTCTAGTGGCTACTAGAGGCGCATCTGGAGGCACATTTCGCCTCCATCGCGCAGAGCGTCCATAGGAAAGTATTGAGAAATGCTTTCCTATTGACACTTTGAATGCGTGCGCGGCACTTGCCACGCATGCGCATTCGGCTCCGCTGACGTCGGACGGGGGAGCTGACGTCAGCGGGAGAGGAGAGGTCACCAGTGCGGAGAGAGCCCGACGCTGGATTAAGGTAAGCTGCTGACGGGGTTTTAACCCCTTCAGCGCCACGGGAGGGGGAACCGGAGGGTGGGGGCACCCTCAGGGCACTATAGTGTCAGGAAAACCGCTTTGTTTTCCTGACACTATAGTGATCCTTTAACAAATTATGAGCACACTTTTAACAAAAAGTAGGTTAGACAAAGTGTGTGAGAAATTATTTTTTTGTTATGAACCAAAATTAAAGGTACAGCTAAGCGTAGTGGTAATGTTGCTAATAGTTTCTATTTACATTCACCATATTTTTGTCAAACTGTTTAGGAGCAGTTTGATTAAAAACCAAGCTGTATTAGATCACCCCTCCTTAGCAGCATTCAAAATGTCCAAATATTTACTTCCAGGCGACTGTAAAAATGATTTCCGAACAGCTGAATTGATTGACCACCGCTCAACTACTCGCTCATTACAACTTTCCTTTTCAGTCTCCCACCTACTGTGCCACTTCCTCCGTATTGCCTATACTGAGATATATCCAAATCGGGCAATTCCCACTGTCCCTTATCTTTTTATACTGTGAACTCGCTTTTCCAGTACATCAAACAAGTTTTATCAGAATTGTGTCTCACTTTATATTTTGTACAGCATTGCACAATATGTTGGTGCTACATAAATAATTGTAATTGTGTGAGCTTTAAAGAGTTTTAAAATATATATATTTAAGGCAGGCTTTTTTTATCAGCTGGAGAGGTATTATCAAAAAATCTGGTCTACTGATTAGCATCTTCTCCCAGGTTACAAGACACTAGCAGAGAATCTGCCCATCATGGGGAGAAATTATTTTGGAAACCGTACTCCAACAGCATTTGAGACGTCCCACGTTACATTGCCCTATAGACACTTTAATTATGACATATATAAACCTGTTTACAATGGATTGTGTAATTATGGGTAAATTGTATTTTAGTTATCATCAGCCACTTCACTTGCTATCACAATATAATAAATTATTTTGTGTAATTATTAGTATATTATTATATTTTATTTAGATTTCAGCCACTTGAATTGCTATGACAATATAATAAATTATTTTGTGTAATTATGAGTATATTATTATTATATTTTATTTACATTTCATCCACTTGAATTGCTATGACAATATAATAAATTATTTTGTGTAATTTTGAGTATATTATTATATTTTATTTACATTCCAGACACTTGAATTGCTATGACAATATAATACATTTTGTGTAATTATGAGTATATTATTATTATATTTTATTTACATTTCATCCACTTGAATTGGTATGACAATATAATAAATAATTTTGTGTAATTATGAGTATATTATTATATTTTATGTACATTTCAGCCACTTGAATTGCTATGACAATATAATAAATAATTTTGTGTAATTATGAGTATATTATTATATTTTATTTAGATTTCAGCCACTTTAATTGCTATGACAATATAGTAAATTATTTTGTGTAATTATGAGTATATTATTATATTTTATTTACATTTCAGACACTTGAATTGCTATGACAATATAATAAATTATTTTGTGTAATTTTGAGTATATTATTATATTTTATTTAGAATGTATCCACTTGAATTGCTATGACAATATAATAAATTATTTTGTGTAATTATGAGTATATTATTATATTTTATTTAGATTTCATCCACTTGAATTGCTATGACAATATAATAAATTATTTTGTGTAATTATGAGTATATTATTATATTTTATTTAGCTTTCAGCCACTTGAATTGCTATGACACTATAATAAATTATTTTGTGTAATTATGAGTATATTATTATTATATTTTATTTACATTTCATCCACTTGAATTTCTATGACAATATAATAAATGATTTTGTGTAATTTTGAGTATATTATTATATTTTATTTACATTCCAGACACTTGAATTGCTATGACAATATAATAAAATTTGTGTAATTATGAGTATATTATATTTTATTTACATATCACACACTTTACTTGCTATGACAATATAATAAATAATTTTGTGTAATTATGAGTATATTATTATATTTTATTTACATTTCAGACACTTGAATTGCTATGACAATATAATAAATTATTTTGTGTAATTATGAGTATATTATTATATTTTATTTAGATTTCAGCCACTTTAATTGCTATGACAATATAATAAATTATTTTGTGTAATTATGAGTATATTATTATATTTTATTTACATTTCAGCCACTTGAATTGCTATGACAATATAATAAATTATTTTGTGTAATTATGAGTATATTATTATATTTTATTTACATTTCAGACACTTTAATTGCTATAACAATATAATAAATAATTTTGTGTAATTATGAGTATATTATTATATTTTATTTACATTTCAGACACTTTAATTGCTATAACAATATAATAAATAATTTTGTGTAATTATGAGTATATTATTATATTTTATTTAGATTTCAGCCACTTGAATTGCTATGACAATATAATAAATTATTTTGTGTAATTATGAGTATATTATTATATTTTATTTACATTTCAGACACTTGAATTGCTATGACAATATAATAAATTATTTTGTGTAATTATGAGTATATTATTATATTTTATTTACATTTCAGACACTTGAATTGCTATGACAATATAATAAATTATTTTGTGTAATTTTGAGTATATTATATTTTATTTACATTTCAGACACTTGAATTGCTATCACAATATAATAAATTATTTTGTGTAATTATGAGTATATTATTATATTTTATTTACATTTCAGACACTTGAATTGCTATGACAATATAATAAAACTGTTCTGAATGGGTTATCATGGCTAACTGCTGAGCCACAAAAAAAAAAATGTAAACAACAGGTCGCCATGGTAACGTATCGGCGCACGCCAATGACGTACGTGGGAATCCACCTCGCGCCCCGATCACGTGCCCCCAGCGGCCTTCACCTCCCGGCCACCCATCCGCCATCTCTCTCACCGCAGATTCGCCACTCTGTTCTGAAGCCGTAAAGAGGAGCGGAATAATTCCACGGACCCGCCCCCTGCCCTCATATCGATACCGGACTGCTAAACGGGCAGCAGGTCGCGGGGAAACACCAGCTGGATTTTTTTTATTTTTTTTTCCCGCGTGCCGTTGGTTGCCGCCATGGCGCTGCCAGGTAAGGCTGGCTGGGGGAGGGGGAGGTTTGTTTCCCCACCTGCACTTTCACTACACTGACTGACTGACTGCCAAGGGAATGGGGCAGGTGGCCGGTCACGTGGTGACAGCGAGAGCGCGCGCGCTGCACAGGTTAGCGGGCGGGGCAGGGCGGCGTCCAATCAGCGTGCGCTGTGCCTCAGTGACGTCAGTGTAGAGGACTATAAAAAAGGCAGATGGGTGAGCCAGTGGTGGCATCTGGTGGAGCAGCCAGGGTCTCCTCAGCTCGCTCAGGCTTCTGTTGAAGGATGGTGGGAGCTGTGGTCATATCAGCTGCAATAAATTATAGTAGTTATGAGTTACTTGTAACCTGTTCAACAACACTGTGGAATAAATTGTCATTTTATAAATGGTTATTTTCTCTAATAAGTGGATGCATGTGTAGAGTTTAATGTAAAATAATTCTGAGATATAATTTTAGTGAAATCCGAGTGTGAACTGCATGTTTATATATTTTAAAGGAATACGCAATAAAACCCACTATAACTCTGGTTATGCTCTGTTCCTATGTGTCCAGCTTGTCTGGTTACAACTACATGTCTGTTCGTCCACCCATTGTAAAGCGCTGTTGGCGCTATACAAATAATAACATAACAGTCTCTGGATACTATCACCTATCAAGAGTAGGCTACTTTTGGCACTCCAGATGTTGTGGACTGCATTTTCCATAATGTTGGCAAGCACCAGGGGACATGTAGTTCACAACATCTGGAGTGCACGAAGGTTGCCCACCCCTGTCTTAGATATTTGCTAAACTGTTTCGGAGTAATAACAAGGTTCTCCCCTTATCTCGGGAGATCATACTGAAAGACCGTGTATTTTGTTTATTTTTTGGGGAGGGGGGCCAGTGTATTGGAGTGGTGGGGTGTAGTGTGTTAAATTAGGGGTAAGGAGGGCAGTGTATTAAAGTAAAGTGGGGGCAGTCTATTCAATTAGAGCGGAGGGAGGAGGCGCATTGTATTGGATTTGTGGGCAGTGCATTAGAATGGGAAGAGGGGCAGTGTGTTAGATCGGGTCTGCATGGAGGCGTTGAATGCTCCACATGGAAATGCTATTTGGCCGCACAGCTTTTTGCCACACATGCACAATAGCCTCCCAATGGTTTCCTATGGGAAAGCATTGGATTGCCTGAGATCATCAAGTTTGATGATCTCAGCCAAAGTGAAGAACACACTCATAGAACTTCAAAATAAACAAGATAATGTCATTTGTTTTTCAGAGCTGTGCAACAGCATACATTCACCATTTCAGTCCCATTACCAAACAACGTAAAGGTAGTTGGAGTGAAGCATTGGTTATATGCGAATACACGTCTCCTTAAAATACATTTGCCCTTTTGTTTACTTTGAAGCCCTATGAGCGTGAGGACGTTCAGTGTCAGTTAGGCAACTTTTTTTATATTGTACTTTTCGAAGTAAGCCTTCATTTCTATGAAAACTTACTTTTTTTTTTTTTTTTTTTGGGCCCACATAAATGTAAACCCAGTTTATTTGGCCCGTGTTCGCCTTTGGTTTGACATGCTTGATTTACAGATTGGTTGTTGTGTATAAAAAAGTACGTCTGTATTTTATATATGTTTATATATGTTTTTATTGTTATGTGTAGAGCACCAACATAAATTTAATGGAACGCTATAGGGTCAGGAACACAAACATGTATTCCTGACCCTATAGTGCTAAACCCACCATTTAGGTGGCTTGCCCCACTTAGCCCCCTTAAAAGCAATTAAAGCACACCTTATTTCCAAGTGCCTTGCGGGTCTGCCGGTACTGGTCTCGAACACTTACTGACAACATCAGAATTGCTGATTTTTAGCCAATCCAATGCTTTCTCCTTGGATTTGCTAAAATTGGCAAGGGGGCGGAGACAAAAACTGTTTTGGTCAATCACCACCTCCTCATAGAGATGAATTGAATCAATGCATCTCTATGAGGAAATTTCAGCGTCCCCATGCAGTGCGTGGAGACGCTGAATGGCAGTGTTGCCTACTGTGCAGCACCGAGCCAGGAAGCCCCTCTAGTGGCCATCTGAGGAGTGGCCACTTGGAGGTGTTCCAATGAGCAATATAAACACTGCCTTTTCTCTGAAAAGGCAGTGTTTGCATTAAAATGCCTGAAGGTAATGATTATACTCACCAGAACAACTACATTAAGCTGTAGTTGTTCTCTTGACTATAATGTCCCTTTAAAGTACAATAATTAAAAACACCAGGTAGAGAGAGAGTGAGCGGATACAGAGTGGTAGCTCGATGTCGCGAGATCTGCCATCTGTCTAGAAGAACAGTATCCTTTTTTTCCATTAAGGAGCTTAGCAAGCCAATAATTAATCCTGTTCATGTGTGATCACAATTATTTCAAATTATTAGTAGTATGAAGGGTGGTCCTTCATAATTGCTACAAAATCATTCTAAACTGGAAACTGAAATAATTGTATTCTTATGTTATCCATGGAAGTCATCATGTTATGGCTAAAGGTTGCAAGACGAAAAATAAAAGTAATGATGTGACTAAATTATTAATATTATTATTTTTTAATATTGTTAAATGGACATTTAAAGAAACATTCCAAATATTTAAGCAAGTGTGAGGGGTTGAGTATTTTTCATGTAATTGCTCCTTCCAGCAATGTGAATGGCTGTTTTAGTAGGCAGTTCATTGAGTTGGCCATAATGCAGCACTGAGCAAATGTCCTCATACATCAAATTCAATGATAAAACAAACTGAGTGTGGCGGAACCAGCCTCGCTACTGGGCATTGGAGAAGACTGATTGCCAGCCTCCTGCCCTGTGACTATGGTCCCTCTCATCAGCCCATGCTAGACTTAAACCCCATGGCGATTTGACTGTGTTTGTGGGATCTGAGCGCTGTTTGAATGTGGGGGTTCTGTTCAGTATGATAGGAATTATGTATTTTTGTGTATTTTTTCTGTTGTTGTGAATAGAGACATTTTCTGTACCTGGAAATAGTTGGCTTACCACACCCAGTTAACCCAATTATCTCCAGGATAGAGGACTCTGTGGAACTGGTTTTGCCTGGAAAGCCATGCTTCATTTGGTCACAAAGGACTTCGATCTAACTTTTGACCCACTGGACCAATTTGTATGATTTTGACGTATGTTTGTATTTGGAGTATGCTGATTCTGAAAATGTATGTTTACATTGTTTTATGTGAATGTGATGCTTACTTTTATGAATATTGTGTAAAACTGTGTATTTTCTTGCCTGTGAAAATTACATTAACCCATTGTGTTCAGTAATTGTATCACAGGCAGAGAGGGGGATTTTGTGTGGGAGTGTCTGAGTGTATTGTATGTGTTTTATTGGCTGTTTTACAAAACCCTGTGGATGGTACTAATGTGTAAGAATGTGTATATAAGAACAATAAACCCACAGCTCTGGCAGTTCTACTTCACCCTCAATTTGGAGTGCCGTCTCTTATTGGGGGAATCTGCTAAAAGGGATTGCTATGCTTGTCATACTCCCTTTCTAAATCCCTACTAAGCTCTTGTAAGAGCTTGTTCCTGCCTTGCTCTCTGGAGGAGTCTACGGTGGTTATGGTTTCTGCTGCAGTGCTCGGAGTCCTCAGGAAGCGCTAGGAGCATCCTTCAACAGAGGTACCCAGTCGGGGTGCCCGTCGATCCATTTTACTGAGTAACCCTCTCAGGGTGCTCTTGTAGATTTGCACTTTGCTACAATATGGTTGGTTGTATATACATAAACAATTCAGGTGGTTACCACCTCCAGCATGGTTAAACAACTGCTAATTTTATGTTGGTTTTCACATCACAGAAGTCCATTCATAATTTGTAACTAATCTGTTAATGTGACATCAGTTACACTGGACTGGAAGCATGGTGTTGTGGGATTACTGTTTTTATGTGTGTTTCAGGGCAAGCCTCTGAGATTGGGGACATATGAGGGTTGGTTTGAGTTTGGGAGGTGGGCCATGACAGATTCATGAGGGAACTTTCTTTCTATGCTTTACAGTCCCCTCTTATCTATGTCACCATGCTCATATTGGGGGTACAGCATGACTGGGAAACCCAGGCTGGCATGCCCCCGACCACCCTTTTCACAGGTGGTTCGGAGGGATCTATGCAGTTGCTAGAGCTCCATGTTTCCGATATGGTCAAACCTGGAAACTACGTAACTGCAGAGCGGATAGAAACCTTGAAGCTTTAATCTGAGGTAGTTCGGACCTCCTGTGATGGATCATGGCACTATTTTGCCATTTAGGGCGCTCGACAGGAAGCCACACATGTTTATGTTTTGTGATGTTTATATGTATGTTTTGGGGTATATTCCATTAAGGAGCCTTTTTGTCTAGAGGTTGATTAGGTCAGCGTTACTTGATCTAGTTATTTCCCAGACACAGAGACACCTGTGTGGGATCTCCACTATGTATAAATATATACATTTTAACCAAATAAAGTGTCTTTGTTTTCATGCTTCTTCAAGTCTAGGCTGCTGTTTGGGTGAGCTGCTATAATCACTGAAGGTGTCCTGCTGGAAAAGGAGGGATATTACTGAATATACTCTGGCTAAGTGCTGAGGTCCGTTACAGTCACTTTTGGGGGTCTGTGCATATTTCGCAAACATCCCAAAATCCGTTCTGGATTTTACTTACCTCAAGCTGCATTCCTCCTGGAGCTCCTCTTTAGCTCCTGGTGCAGCAGTCGCCAGGAGCCACATCAATGGTGTACTTCTGCACATGTGCGACTGAGATCTATAGAGGAACCCACAAGACTATTAAAGTCTCCATAGACAATGCCTGGATGCTGGGATTGGACAAAAGTTGATGGCGTAACTGTGCCTTTTGTTAACGTTTGTCAACCTCAGGCTTGTCCATTGGACAAATTAGTTTCAACTTGTCTTTATACAAGATTGCTATATCACAATACACCCCTGAGTATAATCACTAGCTCTTATAAGAGCTGTTCCTGCTACACTCTCTGGACTAGGAGAAGTCTACCCACTGGAAGCTGGATCCTGATCTTGGGTCCAGGGTGGGTGGAGGACGGCAAGACCCCAACAAAGCTGCGGCGGTTCGTGGGGTGTACGGTGGTTATGATGCTTGCTAGTACTAGGAAGCAGCGATTGACGGAGGTTCCGGGTCGGGGTGCCAGGCGGTCCGTCACAGCCACTCCTCAGAAGGCTATTAAAGGTGCTTCCTTGGGCAGTGAAGCTCTGCATACAGACGCTGAATTTTTCTCATAGAGATGCATTAATTCAATGCATCTCTATGAGGAGGTGCTGATTGGCTCTTTGACCATGCCCCATCCCGCCTCCTTGCCGATTTCAGCCACCCTATGGCAAAGCATTGGTTTGGCTGAAATAATTAATTCTGATCTTGTCAGCAAAAAGGTGGATTGGGGGCGGGGCTAACACTGACGAACCAGCGCGGTACCGGAAATAAGGTGAAGTTTCTTACCTTTTAAGGTGGTTATGGGATGGGAAAGCCACATAAATGGCCACATAAATGGTGGTTTTTAACACTATAGTGTCAGTAATACATGTTTGTGTTCCTGACCCTATAGTGTTCCTTTAAGAAAAGGGAAGGCTTTTTGTAATTTTGGTCTTTCGGCTTCTTAGTAGGTATCTCCCTAATCCTTATTTGGTAATGCCATAAGCATATCAAAAGGGAGCTATCCACTAAATACAGATCCCTAATTTGGTACCCTTAAATATGACAACCCCACAAGGGTACCAGTTTAGGGAATTATCTGGAAAAGGGGTGCAAGGTGCGAATTCTGAAACAGAAATAATGGCTGGATTTTGTCTGAAATGAGCAAACAGTAGAAATTCAATTTGAATGAAAGGACGTTTTTGGCAGCGTTATCTATGGATTCCATTGGAACTTGAGTGAAATTGCAATGCAGTCTTGATCAGTATTTTAGAAAGAATCTATCTTTATAAAATATTGAAAAGTGAAGTGGCTGAAAACATCACGTGTAAACTTTTAAACATTGAGTATGTCTTCTGGCTCTTGTTCACCTGCTACAACCCACTAATACAACATACAAACACAGCAAAATGTGGCCTATGCTCCAATTCTGTAAAAAAATAGTCAAACTTTATTTTTACATAAAAAAAAAAAAAAAGCACATTTTCCAAAAATGTGGACACAGGAAATGGATTTTAATATGCATAACAGTCATGCTACCACAGTATGCAGCCTCCATGAGTGCCTCTGAAACAGCCTCATTCTCAATCACCCAATTAAATAAATGTCAAATATTGGGAGGTTCAAAGAAAAAGAGGAGACAGATTATTCCGTTAACTGTTTAATGTTCCAATATGAAACACCTATACAATAAATAACCAATGGATGGCACTCATGGATAGAATACTTCGTATATTATATAAATTACAAAGTGACCAGCATTAAAAAAAATAAATAAAAGATGGTGGTTTTACCACTATAGGGTCAGGAATACATGTTTGCGTTCCTAACTCTATAGTGTTCCCTTAAGCTCAAGCCATTCACATATTGTTCTAACCCTTCTGGGACACATGTTCGTAGTTAAACCATCCAAAATATTCCCACACTGGGCTGTAGTAGTTTTGTTGCCTGGAGTGCCCTAGCTCAGTCCCTCAGTAATTAGTTTTAGTACATTTTAACTTTAACATAGGAGAATCCGGTTATCCATACAGAGCAAAATAGGATCATGCACGACCACACACAGTGGCTTGGAATTTTGATGGAGGTGTACTGCTGGGTATACACATTTGAATCTGTATCAATTATCCACATTTTTTTCAATGCTAAATTCTTTTAAACAATTTTTAAATTAACGTTTGTATATTCTTATAGATTTGGAGCACGGCTTCTTCTTATTAATTTTGCTGTCTGGATATACATTTTGCCAATCTCACTGCAGGGGAGGACCTGATGAGACAGGGACAAATACTGCTTACCTTCCAGTAAGGTTTGCATCTTTATTTTTTTAAATCTCCTATAGATCTATGCAGCAACCAATGTCCAAAGGCTTGAAGAAGTATGGTCAGTCTTAAGCAATGCTGTGTACACCCTTAAAAAGATTTAACGGGATTCTATGCTTTGCTATGGGGAAAAGTCTGACACACGCATAGCGTAAGGACGTCAAGCGTCAGATAATGGACCATAGGTCCGTTTTGATTCTGGAAGTCCCTCTAGTGGCTGTCTGGTAGACAGCCACTGGAGTAGGAGTTAACCCTCAGAGGTAATTATTGCAGTTTCTCAGAAACTGCAATAATTACCACTGTAGCATTAAGGGACATGGTACAATGAGCTGAAATGGTCTAGGTGCCTACAGTGTCCTTGTAATTCTCACCCGCTGTTATTTGTCCTGGTTTTTGTCTCTTGCCCATGTCTTCTAGGACTACTTGCACCATCACTGAAAGATAGTGCTAAACTCGTTATCTTTCAAGAACCTGCCTATGTTTTTGTCCAGTTAGCACCACCATATGTTTAATGATCACTAAAATAGCCCTAAAACTCTATTGAAATATAGTGAAACGTAAAATACGACTTCTTTATAAAAACTGTTTTTACAAAAGATACTTTATATTTAAATATGTGCATCTGGGCTTCATTTCAGATCATCAATTTTTGGATCTCATATATATATAGCCTTGATAAAATAGATAAATTAGGCTAGATAAAACATATTAGAGATGATTGTTGGACCTTCTCTCTCTCTCTCTCTCGCTCGCGCGCCTGCTCTTATCTATTTTATTTAGGCTGTCTATCTAATTTATTTTATGTAACCTATCTGTGTGTCTGTATATTACCAAGATCCACTTGTGACCTCTTCTTGTTCCACCTCTGCTGTGTTCTCATAAAAAAGCTTTGATTGTATAAAAGTGTTCAGCCTTCAAAGTGAGTTATAAATCATGTATTCTGTGCCATCTAGAACCACGGGGGTAGCAGGAAAAAAAGAAAAGAAAAATAAGAAATCATAGCATCAAACGAAACAATGCTGATCGAAGCCAATATAAGTGTACTTAGGATGTAAGTCTTTTTAAGGCAACCGAGGCAATGAAAGACCACAGTGAAATGGGATGCTGGAGTGGATGTGTTCAAAGGCAGATGGCGTATTTTTCAGAATATTCACATTGACCTTTTGAGCAGATATGAAGGAATTGGTCATTCTGTGCGTCCACAAGTTGCTTTATGACTCTCACGATACTCAGCCAAGCTGAAAGATCCCTTCTCAAGCAAGTATAGCTTACGTACCAGTTCTAATCCTAGTTATATTGATTGACCGGAGACACAAACTGGACCATATTTAATATTTCCAAGAGGATATGTATTAGTTCAAAGCGCAGAACACTGACAACAGTAATGTTTTACCTTGACGGTTAACCACTTTTAGACCACTGCACCGGGACCACTTCATTGAGGTTAAGTGGTTTTGGAGACTTTAGTGTCCTTTTAAACTGCTGACAGGGTTTGGGGGAGGAATCTCCTGTCTCCACCCTTCCCATTAGCAGTAGGTTAGTGCCCTAAGTGATAAGGGGGGGCTACTGTCTTGCCCCTCCCTTGGCCCCAATGCATTAGCAGCCAACAGTGAGATTTCCATGCACGCTAACTACCAATCATTACAGAGACTGGGGGAGTCTTATGATTTGTAATTACTCTTAAAGGAACACTATAGTGCCAGGAAAACATACTCGTTTTCCTGGCACTATAGTGCCCTGAGGGTGCCCCCACCCTCAGGGTCCCCCTCCCACCCGGCTCTGGAAGGGGGAAAGGGGTAAAAACTTACCTTTTTCCAGCGCTGGGCGGAGAGCTCTCCTCCTCCGATCCTCCTCTGTTCCTCCCCGTCAGCTGAATGCGCACGCGCGGCAAGAGCTGCGCGCGCATTCAGCCAGTCACATAGGAAAGCATTATCAATGCTTTCCTATGGACGCTGGCGTGGTCTCACTGTGAAAATCACAGTGAGAAGCACGCAAGCGCCTCTAGTGTCTGTCAATGAGACAGCCACTAGAGGAAATAGGGGAAGGCTTGACCCATTCATAAACATAGCAGTTTCTCTGAAACTGCTATGTTTATGAAAAAATGGGTTAACCCTAGCTGGACCTGGCACCCAGACCACTTCATTAAGCTGAAGTGGTCTGGGTGCCTAGAGTGGTCCTTTAAACAAGACCTGCTAGATTACCGATTGACTGAGCTGTAAAATGGAGCTAAGGGCTGAATTGAATATGGTACATAGATTATCCGTTTAATTTGCTGTTGTGGGAGTAAGATAAAAGATATGAAAACTAATCCCTAAACGACTTATTAGTGGACATTTTGGGCTAAATTGGTCTGCGATTACAAATGTGCGGATGACACGATTCACTTTAAGTAAGTATTCTTCTGTAATTTCTACATAGTGCCAGCAAAATCTTCATCAAATGTGTAGGATACATGTTAAAGGAAGTTTCCTGTGCGCTTTGAGCCTTGAGAAGTTTGCAGATTAATCCCACAGTGCAAAGCTCCCAACCATGCACATTGCATTCTGGGTTGACAGTGAGCATGCAAGTACTCTGTGTCCAGCAGTAATTTATGGGAAAAAACTCCGCACTGCCATAGAAAGACACAAAGGGGTGAGTGAGTGGGTGAGTCACTTCCTAATCCATGCGTAACTCAACGCACAAGTTACAAACTCATTTAAAAAAAAAACCTACATAAAAAAAATATAAAATAGGGACTTTTACAAGCATCTTATTTTTTTATTTCTTATTAGTATTTGTTTATAAAGCATATATTTTTAAAACAGAAATAGAATGCTCCAGTACAAGGTTGGCGTGTCCCTTTTTATTACCCACCATGCCATGTTTACTTAGTGAGTGGAATGAATACAAATGATATATTTATTCACTTTTAACTATGGCTCTTATTTAGTTCGATACATCATTCATCATTCGGCTGTATTGTTGACTGTAAAGATGCAAACACCATTTATTGCCACAAGAGGTAGCTTTTACTACATTGGTTTTCTTTAGTTTAAGCATTGGGATGAATTTCTGCCTGACAGCCTATTTTACTTCCTCTAAAGCTATCATTACAGTTACCATAAAATTGGAGTTATTTTATGCTGGTGAAACATACTATTATTTAAAACCTTTTCATGATAAGTTTATATTCTTCGAAGGTTTCTTAATTGAAACAGTCAACAACTGAATCACAAGTTACCTGCATGCAAAATATATTTCGTAATTTCAGAACATAGTATAATGTATACTTATATAGAGAGCATGAACTTGATACTGTCTCACTAAACTGTGCTTTCTTTTGAACATGAGATCGCTGAACTGTTTGGCCATTTAGAGCTGGGAAGGTTTTTGGAAGTGGATTGGGCTTAAAAACCCAAGGGCAGAGTATAGAATATGTGATACCCTACTAACCTCAGCATCTGAGGAAAGGGGTTTAGGGGTGATTATTTCAGATGACATAACGGTAGGTAGACAATGTAATAGAGCAGCAGGAAATGCTAGCAGAATGCTTGGTTGTATAGGGAGAGGTATTAGCAGTAGAAAGAGGGAAGTGCTCATGCCATTGTATAGAACACTGGTGAGACCTCACTTGGAGTATTGTACGCAGTACTGCAGACCGTATCTCCAGAAGGATATTGATACCTTAGAGAGAGTTCAGAGAAGGGATACTAAGCTGGTTCATGGATTGCAGGATAAAACTTACCTGAAAAGCTTAAAGGATCTTACAGGCCCACTATAGTGCCAGGAAAACATACTCGTTTTTCTGGCACTATAGTGCCCTGAGGGTGCCCCCACCCTCAGGGTCCCCCTCCCGTCCGGCTCTGGGGAGAGGAAAGGGTTAAAACTTACCTTTTTTCCAGCGCCGGGCGGGGAGCTCTCCTCCTCCTCTCCATTCGGCTGAATGCGCACGCCAAGAGCGCTAGCCGGCGATTCAGCCGGTCTCATAGGAAAGCATTCATAATGCTTTCCTATGGACGCTGTGTCTCTCACTGTGATTTTCACAGTGAGAATCACGCAGCGCTCTAGCTGCTGTCAATGAGACAGCCACTAGAGGATTAAGTTAACCCATTCATAAACATAGCAGTTTCTCTGAAACTGCTATGTTTATGAAAAAATGGGTTAACCCTAGCTGGACCTGGCACCCAGACCACTTCATTAAGCTGAAGTGGTCTGGGTGCCTAGAGTGGTCCTTTAACATGTATAGCTTGGAGGAAAGACGAGACAGGGGGATATGATACATTTAAATACATAAAGGGAATCAACACAGTAAAGTAGGAGACTATGTTTAAAAGAAGAAAAACTACCACAACAAGAGGACATAGTCTTAAATTAGAGGGACAAAGATTTAAAAATAATATCAGGAAGTATTACTTTACTGAGAGGGTAGTGGATGCATGGAATAGCCTTCCAGCTGAAGTGGTAGAGGTTAACACAGTAAAGGAGTTTAAGCATGCGTGGGATAGGCATAAGGCTATCCTAACTATAAGATAAGGCCAGGGACTAATGGAAGTATTTAGAAAATTGGGCAGACTAGATGGGCCAAATGGTTCTTATCTGCCGTCACATTCTATGTTTCTATTCTATGGATGTTGTTGGGGAGAATTTAATTTGCATTTTTGTTATTATTAAAGTTTTGGAGAACAAGAGAAGAAAAAAGGCGTGCTGTGTCTTTAAGCCCGCAATATAAATTGAACACTTAAACACTTATTTGTGCAAAAAATAGCAAAATCTTTTTGTGGTGCAAATTTCCCTTTGTATAACAGTTTAAGTGTTTAGTGATAAAATCTTACAAAAGGTGTACAGTGCGAAGTGCAGTAAATAAAGTTACCTTTTAAACCTTTGAAATAATACCTTTCTTCAGGTCAAGAGGCTCCTTACAAAGTAATTAATGTCCATACATATGCAAAAAAAGGGGGAGAGAGAAATAAATGTAGTATAATATTGTTTTTTCCAATATTGAATATGTATACTGAGAAATATACACTCACAAGTGTAGAGCAGATGAGTCTGCTCTAACTCGAAAGGCTCCAGATAATGTTTCCAAGGAAACGCAGGTAAACCTGAGGCTGTAGTAAAATCGCAATATATGTTTATTACAAGCAACCTTAAAACCAGCAGGCTAGCGGATCGTCTTTTCCTCAGTCTCTTCTCATGAAGTTCTTTCCAAGTCCCTTCTATGTGGCCACAATATCTGGTCCCGGTTCTATTTGCGTCTTCCGGGATGCGAGGTTAGTGTACACTTTCGTGCGTGCTGACGTGGTAGCGTGATGACGCTTTTCACTGTGTCAACGACTTCTTCAGATCTACCTTTCCATAGCCCGCTCTTCACTTTTAAGTCCACCTCATCTGGGTGTGTACTTGCTTAAGTCTCTAATCTACCAGCTGCTATTCGTTAGAGTCTGGTACATAATTTACATATCTGATAAAATCGCGATCGTAGAGTGTATAAATCCTCATAATAAAAAAGAAGCCACATAAATGCACAGATATAACAGAAATAAAAGGACCACTATAGTGCCAGGAAAACATACTCGTTTTCCTGGCACTATAGTGCCCTGAGGGTGCCCCTACCCTCAGGGTCCCCCTCCCGCACGGCTCTGGGGAGAGGAAAGGGGTTAAAACGTACCTTTTTCCTGCGCTGGGCGGGGAGCTCTCTGCCTCTGATCCTCCTCCTCTCCGCCCATTCTCTTGCCGCGCATGCGCATTCAGCCGGTCGCATAGGAAAGCATTTACAATGCTTTCCTATGGACGCTTGCGTGCTCTCACTGTGATTTTCACAGTGAGAATCACGCAAGCGCCTCTAGCGGCTGTCAATGAGACAGACACTAGAGGATTTGGAGGAAGGCTTAACCCATTCATAAACATAGCAGTTTCTCTGAAACTGCTATGTTTATAAATAAATGGGTTAACCCTAGAAGGACCTGGCACCCAGACCACTTCATTAAGCTGAAGTGGTCTGGGTGCCTAGAGTGGTCCTTTAACAGAAGTTTGTTGCAGTAGATGAAAATGTTGGGTCATTTATCCCGTGGTGTCTGAACTCACCTTCACTGTCATCTTATTGTGTCTGCACCATTTCCATTCGTCCAGTCTTGTTTTGCTTCCCATGTCTCTGCTGCGGAAATATTTACTCCATTATATGGGGTTTCACTTTCTCATACCCCTAAGACAATAAAGTCCTTTCACCTCAGCGTGAATCCTCATATGTTGTATACAAATGGAAATGTTGACATGGGTAGATCTATGTTGGAAAGACCACTCCGAAGAACAGAGAAAGGATCCATTAACACAAATTACCAGTGCCAGCAGGGATGTTTCTATCGTGAGGCAAACAAGGCCTTGGACGGCACGTTGCCGTCCAAGAAGTCTTGGACGGCACGTTGCAGGTGGCGTCAAAAATGCCCAGGCTAATGCCTTGTGTGCCTCGTTTTATGGGGGCCCCAACAGCGGGCCAGCTGGCCACAGTTGGGCCTTCCCAGGCCAGGCATCCAGTTGTTTCCTGGGCGGGAGGTGAGGGAGCATTTTCCCCTCACACGACTGCAGTGATGCCGGGAGCCGGAATATGACGTCAGTCTGGCTCCCGGCATCACTCTGTGGCGCACGAGGGAGCTGAGCAGAGAGATCACAGCTCCCTCGCTGACAACTTAGAGCTGCTGCCCGCCTGTATATCCGTCCGCCTTCCTGCCCAGCATCCCGGCCATCAGCCCCACTGGACCCCAGGTGAAAAATACACCCAGCTATCCCAAAAGTAGGGAGGCTGGGTGGATCTAAACTTAAAGAGTGTTGGGGGAAAATGTGTTTGTCAGTGAGTGTGTGTGTGTGTCAGTGAATGTGTGTGTGTGTGTCAGTCTGTCAGTGAGTGTCTGTGAGTGTGTGTGTCTGAGTGATTGTACGTGTCTGTCAGTAAGTGGGCGCTTCTGTCAGTATGTGTCTGAATGATTGTATGTGTCTGTCAGATTGTGTCAAATTAGTGAGTGTATGTGTGTGTATGTCAGTGTATCTGAGAGTGTGTACTGGTCCGTGAGTTTGTACCTGTCAGTCAAAATGTGTGTACGTTAACAAGAAGAGGTGCGGCCTTGGCAGGAAGGGGCAGGTAAATTTGAATTAGAGGGTGCCCGAGATCTGTCCTGCCTAGGGCAGCACCATTTCAAAAATTCACCACTG